CAAGAAAACCATCCTTAAGAACTGGAAATCAAGGAAAAAAATAAACATTTCAATATGGAAAACATGCTGAATGATCACATATCATCCCAAAACCATCCCACAGCAGAGCCTCTCTGTCCTTAGTCACCAATTCTTAAATCACTCCACCCCACTGCCAAATAATTCTAAATAAGTACTTATTTGTATAAAATCCATCCATCTGTGTTTATATATATCGGTGTTCATATGTTTATATAACTAATTGACTATGTGTATGTGTTTTTATATAAATGTGTATACATACAGTATATCGATCATGTAGTGTTCATAACACTGCATAATTGTTACTATTATTCTTATCATCATCGTTATAACATTTTAAATATATAATATATTAAATCTTATAAAATTATGATATTTACATACCAAAGTTATTATAAATTTTATTCTTCGTAAAAACTAATAAAGCAATTGTTATTATTATTAATATTATTATTAGTAGCAGTAGTAATTAAAAAGTAAGGGAGGAATAATAGTAATAATGAATATAATATATATATGACATTTTTTTTCAAATAAACATTGGGCTCTCTCATCTGCACCTTGCTCCACTCCTCGGGATTTTATTGCACCACATCCTTCTCACCGAAGCTTATCTAAGAACTGACTCATGTAACTTACACCTGAACACACTACACACATCCAAACACTATGCACAACCACCGCCCTCAAGAACCAATTTGTATCTGTCTAGCCCCCTGCCCTGCCGTATCACTCCTCAGTATGTGTGTTGTGTAAAAGCTTTGTTTGTCTGTATGTATGTATGAATAAAAAAAAAAACGTTTAATGACAGCATTATCAATAAACTTATTGTTATCAAGACAATGTAATCGTTGCTGTACATACTAGGCCCAAACCAATAGATATAAAAGAGGACATTTGATGACAATGAATTATAACAAGATACATGCAGACAAAACAGAAAATATCATACCCCAAGGAGAGATGGTTGGAGAGAGAGAGAGAACCCCAGAGGCTCTGGGCCTCAGCAATAGGCTGCTACATGTTGCTTAGAGAGTAGACACCGATCAAGAAAAACCAAACTAGTCCATCCCTGCTCTCTATATAATGGCTGTGAGGTCACTCTCAGGTTCCACTGGATTGTTCAGGGGGGTCAGCCAGGAGCAAGCCATCCCCCATGGAGGGGGGACATGGACGTCAGATGAGGGGGAAAATCCATACCAACACTTATATACCCTTAAGATCATTGGTCCCACAAATACACTTGTTGTCTGTCCATTGTCTATCCCATGTGTGTTTCTGGCTTCATTGATTATTGTTGATGGATTTGGTTTTCTATTGGTTCCAGGACAAGTTGTTGTCTTTGGTCTGTAGAATGTCGGTCCACTCCTCTTCAAAGACAAGTCATTGTATATTGGCAGGAACTGGAACACGCTGTAGTATCAGACGATCCACAGCATCCCGAACCTGCTCAATGTCTGCTCATGTCTGGCATCTTTGCTCAGTGATGAGGAGATTATTTTTCAACGTAAGAATTGCCCCAGCTCTAGTAGGCTCTGAAATAGCAATAAATGACTTGTGATTTCCTGTCGCCCAACATGTAATCCAGCGTCTCTCTATAATATGTGGACAAATGAAGTGCTACCCAGAAGTCCGTGTCCATTTTTTGCCTGGTTTTGCCTGGCCTCTATTGCTAACACCCTAATCCTTCCCTGCTGACGGCATCCCCCTCCTCATAAATTACTCCTTAAAAGCCTTTAAAAGGACACATCTTCTGCGTGATGCCGTGCTTTGGGAGGGGTGGGACCGGGCATCTGTTTCCACTCATTGCAGGAGATATGGGTTCAGGCCAACAGCCAATCTGTGATTTCATTGTCGCTTCTCCAGAACATCAGCGCTAAACCCACACTAACCCGACCCCGTCACGGACACGCACACTGCGAGTGGCACGCTGCTACACAGATTTACCAGTCAAGTGCTCGTAACTTTATTTATGTTAAAGGGGACGTAAATGGGATCTTCTGTCTTCTAGCTCTCATTCAGTTGTATCTGGATAAAACAGAACATCTACTAACATTGATGGACTGTGATTTTTATTGTTGCATTTCTTATGTTTAAACAGTTTGATTCTCTGATCTGTATAGGAAAATTGACAAGTCCTCTGAGATAACTACTGTTGTGATTTAGGGTTGTGCAAAAATGAATTGAATTGAGTCTTACCATTTTGTAAAGGCGTCATTTCACTTGGGAAATTACCAAAACTCATTCATGGTCAATATTTTTGTGTTAATAGTCAGAAAACTGTTCTAGTGGTACAATGACATCATACAGTCACATACAGAACTGAGTCTGGAGTGTTCACACAGACGGGGCTGAGCCACATGATTAGTTTAGTTTATTTGTGGACAATGTACAGATTCATTAAAAAGATGGCTGCACCAGATTTAGCACCATGCTATTTTCAATTTGTAGTCTTGATAATACAATCATTAAACATACATATTAAAACACAGTTAAAAACGTGCAAGTTACCAATCCATCCATCCATCCATCCATTTTCTTCCCCTTAATCCATTTCTGGGTCGGGAGGGTGGCAGTCAGAGCTGCACCCAGTACACAGGGCACCATTTGAAGAAAACTGAAGGATTTCAGAAGAAAAAAGTTCAAAATGACAATGGACACTAAAATCCCCACAAAATCCGATCTTTCTGAAAGCTGTAGGTTCTCTGTCAGCTGAGGTTGAGCTGTTTTAGTTTACATTGAGTTCTATGGGACTTTTTTCTGGGTAGCCCACGTGAATTTAGTTTGCAGCACCACGGGTGCCCCCTGTGCCCATAGGTGGGACAGCTATAAGCTAGTAATACCCTATCCAGTTATTATTATAGATCCATGGTGTGGATGCAATGTTGTAACGTGGAAAAAATAAATCGTTTGCATGTTACAGGAAGGTTCCCTTGTCAAAAACATACCATGCTAATATGACTTGTTTCACTTATATTCTGGAATTGGCTGATTGTAAACTTGAACTTTGGTTTGAGTGGTACCTGTAACCCATCTTCTTGGTAAGACGCAGAACAGCGAGACCTCGCTCTGGTCAGCCTCTGGTCTTTCTCTGATATCTCTCTGGTCTCTCTCTGCTTCCTGTTGCTGGTCTTTCTCAGGTCTCACTCTCTGGTCTCCCTCTGCTCTGTCAGTGATCTCTCTCTGGTCTTTGGTCTCTCGCTCTGGTCTCTCTCTAAGCTCTCACTCCGGTCATTTTGTGTTCCCCCCCTCTCTTCCATCTGAATGCAGACAGAAGAGTTGTTTTAACTGGACACAACTGCATGGAAGCAGATAGATTCTGGGGTTTGATACCAGCCTTCATTTCTCAACACGTCTTCCCCATGGACCTGTGGAATCTCCCGTCTGTCTTCTGTCTAAAGTCTTCCGGATTTTCGGCTCATGCTTTACATCTCTGCTCCTGACCTACTTCAATAATCACAAATTTACCTGTCACATGCATGTCTCAAATGAGGTGATAAACAATCGCCTCCAGGGACAGAGTAGTGCTTATTTGGCAGAAACTTTTACAAGACAAAGCAGCAGATGTAGAGAAAGATCCACTCCAGGGGGCTATAAGTGGGGTCTCATACGACAATAGTCCTACTGCTAACACCACTTTGCAAACGACCCGATGAATGAACATGTATTTTCTGTCATTTGTACACTGACAAAACAGGGTGAAACTCTCTATAAACGAATTAAATCTGGAGCACTTGACACGGTGGCTAGCACTCTCGCTTCTCAGCAAGAAGGTCCTGGGTTTGAATCCCGGTCGAAACAGGGCCTTTCTGAGTGGAGTTTGCATGTTCTCCCCGTGTCTGCGTAGGTTTCTTCCGGGTGCTCCGGTTTCCCCTACCACTAAAAACATGTACATTAGGTATGAATGTAAATGAGGGAGTGAATGGATGGTGTTGATTGGGAGCTGATGCGCCAGTGTGATCGGCGACTCGCTTCTGTCATCACCGTGTGTGGAATGATTGGAACAATATCTGAACTCTGAACATTGTAAAGCGCTTTGGGTGACCTTGGTCTGTAAAATGCGCTATATAAATAAACATTACTTACTTACTTACATACTGTAGCTTTTGACCCCTGATATGAACCAGAGAAGGAGCTGGGTACAGAGCCAGGAGTTTCACTTAGTGGCAGAAGGAAGCAGAGAAATCCGTTCTGTAACGATGGTAAAGTCAGATTCTAGTCTTAGTTTGGAGCCACTTCTTCTTTTCAGCACATTCAGATTCAGATTCAGATTCAGAATACTTTATTTATCCGACCAGTCGCAATTCCTTTGAGCAGCACAGGACAAAAACACATCAAAAAACATAAAAACACAAAGAATGTCAGACAGTAAACAGTCTAATATGATATGAAATGCTGCACATATCAGACTTATCTGGTCTGTCTCTCTCTTAGGTCTCTCTTTGGTCTCTCTCTGGCTTTACTATTATCTATTATTTATTTTTCTATTATCTATCTCTTTTTTTCTTGTTTAGCTCTCTCTCCCTGGTCATTCTCTGAGGTCTCTCTCTTTGGTTCTTGGTTAAGTCTCTTTATTCTTTCTCTGAAGTCTTTCTCTTTTCTCTGGTTTAGGTCTCTCTCTCTGGTCTCTCTCTTAGGTATCTGTCTGGTATCGTTCACCCACTAATACATGAGTTGGGTTTAGACAGTGTAGTGACAGGTTAGTTTTACCCTGATGATGTGTTGTTGCAGTAGAAATTCTAGGTCTCTCTCTGCTCTCTCTCTCTCTCTTTGATCTCTCTCTGGTCTTTCTGTTCTCTCGCTAGTCTCTGGCTAGTAAAAGGCCTTATATTCAGTACATCATCATGGAGCTTTGTGAATCTAATCATTCTCAAATAATGACCTGGGGAAACAATTAACATTTCTTTTTCAACATTTCTTTGAAAAACTGCTTCTGTATGAGCTCTGTGTATTTCAACATGTCTCGTTCTCGTTCACAGCACTACGTCCTGGCGTTCGGAGGGATCATCGCTGTTCCACTGATTTTGGCCGAACCGCTTTGCATCAAGGACAACAATGTGGCGAAGAGTCAGCTCATCTCCACCATCTTCTTTGTGTCCGGTCTCGCCACTCTGCTGCAGACCACTGTCGGGACGAGGTAGATTACATACATTTTCGGGGGGGGGAGTCTCCAAGAGGCCTGCCCTGGGTCTCCAAGATGTCTGCCCATTGAAAAAAATGTATGACCAATCAGCACGTTGCAGAGAGAGTTTCACAGTTGGTGTTAATGGTCAGGTTCATTGGAAAGACATTCTTAAATGTAACTTGCACGTCTATGGCCGCATTAGCCCATTTCTTCATATGAGATTTTTTTTGGACCTCTTTCTGGTTCCTCCCTGCTCTCTTTCACTGGTCTCTCTGGCCTCTCTTTCTGGTCCCTCTCTGGTTTCTCTCTGCTCCCTCTGGTCCCTTTCCTGGTCCCTTTCTCTCCTCCCCCTGGTACTCTCTGGTCTCTCTCTCTGCTTTCTCTCACAGATCTTTCTCTCTGGCACCTCTCCTGTCTCTCCCACCGGTCTACCTCTCTAGTCTCTCTCTTTGCTCTCTCTGGTCACTCTCTCCTACCCCTGGTCTTTTTCTGGTCTCTTTCTGCTCTCTCTCTCTCTGCTCTCGTCTCAAAAAAGACAATTCTACATACGCTATTTTGCACCGAGAACCAGAGCAATTAGTTGTGACTTATTTTCAATGGCAATAAAAAACATTCTGATTTTAATTCTTATTATCAAAATCATTCTCATCTCTTGCCACACATCCTCCGCCTCTCTCACATGGTGCTGTCTGTTGTGGCCACAGATTGCCGATCCTCCAGGGGGGTACCTTCAGCTTCATCACCCCCACACTCGCCATCCTCGCTCTGCCCAAGTGGAAGTGTCCGGAGCCCCTGGACCCACTCACCGGAGCCGCGACCAACGGGACCCAACATCATGACGACGAAGTGTGGATGTCCCGCATGAGAGAGGTACAGCAGGAATTTTGGCACTCTTGAGTTAATTTAAGAAAATACAATAGATAAATACATAAATACGTTACAATATTAAAATAATAAGTAATACAATAAAAAAAGAATAAAATAAAACTCTGAGCTCAGATGGTAGAGCATTGGCCTTTGGGCCGGAACGTTGTGGGTTCGAGCCCATCATGGTTCTCCAACTGCTCCCATTAATATCTGCTGTCATCGTGTCCTTGGGCAAGACACTTTACCCCAAATTGCCTGAAGCTCCTGTTTCCACCAGCCCTACTCGGCTCTACTTTACTCTACTCTACTCAACTCACTACACTTAATCTTAGTATCTTGTACCATATCCGAGCAACCTATCCATGACAAACCGGTACCTGCATAAATTCCTCGGTAACCATGGCTTCCAGCAGCACACTGGCAAATCACTGTCAGTTAGAACACGTTGGTACCAGCTAGGGCCTGACCAGAACCAGGGGCCAAGAGGGACCTGGTACTGTTTAAATAGGGCCAGTGGAAACGCGAGCAGAGCACTCTCGTTTCTCAGCAATCAGGTCCTGGGTTCAAATCCCGGTTAGAACAGGGCCTTTTTAAGCGGCGTTTGCATGTTCTCTCTGTGTCTGTGTAGGTTTCCTCTGGGTGCTCTGGTTTCCCCTACCACCAAACACATGTACAATAGGTAGGAATCTAATGAGTGAGTGAAGGGATGTGTTTGGTCGGGGCTTTGATGTGCCAGTGTGTTCGGCGTCTCGCTTCCATCATCCCCGTGTGTGGAATGATTGCAACAATATCTGAACTCTGAACATTGTAAAGCGTTTTGGGTGACCTTGGATTGTAAAATGTGCTAAATAAAGAAACGTTGCTGACACTTACTTACATGAACATTCAAGATTTACAAAACTCTTCCTGTTCGACAAACAACATCAATTGTGAAGTTACGTCCCCCAGCTTTAAGTCCAGACTCTCCACTTCTGCAGGGCTTTACCTTTTATTAGTTCTGTGAATGTTCTCTCTTTCAAATAAATTATGGAATAAAGATTAACCTGAGGTGAGACCAGGCCACGATCCCCCGCCTCCCGCTTTCACAACTCCAGGAGGACGTAAAAATAAATGTCTCTCTCCTTTTTTTCACTGCGTATCATTAAAACACGCAGCTGCTTTGAGATAACGGAAAACGCAGGCGCAGGTTTCAGGCTTCGTGGGCATAAATCACAGACGACGGCCGCAGAATTTCAAAGAATATTATTTCACCTCACTCCCACGCTCTGCAGAAATTGCTAACATGCTTCCAAACATGTTTTAGTTCAAAGCTAAAGTGTAAAACTTCAGATTCACCATAGAAAAGAACTTGGTGGATCTAGATGTGATTTTCATGTTAACGAGGCTGAACGTTATAAGCACTTGTATTTTCCATTTGTTGTAATACTTAAAGGGAACATCATGACAAAACACTCAACAAATGTGCCTTGAGAAATGATCCACCGACTTGGTCAAAATAATGTGCAATAAAAATACTTCTTTGCACTTATACACTTTGATGAGAATGACTTGTTAATAAAGTAACAAGTCATTTCAGCTCGTGGTGTGCCATGCGATTGTTTTGAATGAAAAAGGTGTGCCACGGCTAGAGCAGTCATCCCCCTGTGGACTCAGCACCTGCAGGACGATCAGTGAGGGGCTGGTGCTATGTGTACCTGGTGCAGCTCTGACTGCCACCCCCTGACCCAGAAATGGATTAAGGGGAAGAAAATGGATGGTTCTGATTGATTGATTGATCAAATCAACAAAGTTACATTTCAAACATATGATAAAATATAATGAATTACAACCAAAAAAAGGAAAGGCAGAAGCAGTGCTTGTTTGAGCCTATCCTATTCAACACCTTCTGTTTAAGCAGCTTTTAGGCGTTTTATGTATGGTATTCCATATATCGTTCTGAGCATTATGTGGGAAAAAAATGTCTATACTTATTGAGGCGACAAGCAGAAAATATGCAAAACACACTGAATCCCCCACAAAAAAATCACCAGAATACCCTGTGTGTGTTTTAATGTTCTGTTTTCGTACCGTGGAGGTGAGGCAGGACTGAGCCACACATGTGAGACCACATGAGACATAAAGACAGTGTAACAAGCCATGAAGCTTTTCACCCTTGGGGTTTGTGCCGTTCCTATAATACTGTAAAAATAAATGTAATTTGTATCTCTCTCTGACTCCCTCTGGTCTCTCTCCCTGCTCTCTTTTTCTAGTCTTTCTCTCAGGTCTTTATGAGCTGTAACTTTAGCTGCTTTCAAAAGTCTACTAGTTTGTTTGTTCCTTTCATCCCTTCCCTTTGTTGTCCCAGGTCCACACTGATCTTATAAACCCCTTGAGATTGCTATAAAGAATCCCAAGCAATCTTGAGGACATGTTTCCTCAAGAACATGTCCTGTTCATGCACCCCCTTGAAACTCACTCCTTGTGTGTTCTTCAGATCCAGGGAGCCATCCTGGTCTCCTCCCTTCTGCAGATCTTCCTGGGTTTCTCTGGGCTGGTCGGGTTTGTGCTGAAGTACATCGGACCGCTGGCCATTGCTCCCACCATCAACCTGATCGGCCTGTCACTCTTCATCGAGGCAGGGAAGAAGTCTGGCGGACACTGGGGCATCGCTGCGCTGTGAGTGTGCTGTTCTCTCCAGGCACTCCCTCTTGTCTCTCTGGTCTCTCTCTTGTCTCTCTCTGGTCTCGCTCTCGTCACTCTGGTCTACCTCTGGCCTCACTCTGGTCTTTCTATGGTCTCGGTCTGGTCTCTCTCTGGTCTCTGGATTTGGATATGACATCCAATAAGCATTTGGGATAAGTCAAAATATGAAAAATAAATGTAATAATAATTAACTAAACCAAATTAATTACTTCAAAAAAATACATAAAAGAATGTCAAACAAAAGTTACCCACGCCTGCTTTCAACTGAAGTCATCTTCAGGTCTGTTTTTCAGGGATTTAATTTTATCTGAACCTGATTACCCTAAAACCTATGGCTTCCACTGTTATATGAATATGAGATGATGTCATTTGGCTAGAGCCGCTGCCTCTCTTCCCTCTGGCCCAACTCCCGTCTTGTTAACAAGACAAACGATTACATATTTTGACTCTGCACAGACCTACACTTCCTCCTCCAGCAGATAAGGGCCCAGATGTAGCCGGACTGGCTGCAGTCGGACGGCACCCTTCCCCCTCGGCTTTACACTCCAGGCCTGGTTCAAAAGAGCAGATTCATCATTGTTTAGATCTACACATAAAAACCATAGTAGAAATATCTTAGAACGTGCAGGTGATGTAGATGAGTCAAAACCCAATCCTCCACAAACTCTAGTTTTGTTGTTTTGTTTCGCCACAGAAAAAAAAAGCAAAACTCGTGGTGCAGTGGTGACTGGTTTATTGCAGGGGGATGAGTTCTAAAAATATCTCACAATAAGTCAAATCCTTGAAGTAGCAGCTATGTTTTAAGGCTGAAAAGCCCCTCACGCACACTTTATACACTTTTCTTCTCCCTGTGTCTGCGTAGGTTTTCTCCGGTTGCTTCGATTACCCTACTAGTAAAAACATTCACAATAGGTACAGTAAATCTTCAGCTCTGGTCCTGACCAAACCGAGCACTTCCCTCTGGAGATGTAACAGAGGCCAAAATGGCATTCCAGGATGGGTCAAATGCAGAGGACAAAGTTCCCTATACGGAGATAAATAAAGTGCACATTTATTTATCTGTGTCCTCCGCAATACCTACTGTTGTGATTTAGGGCCATACAAAAATATATTAAATTGACTTTAATATACTGGGGGAATCACCGTCTGAAACAGAACATATAGCAAAGCAGGTGGTGCAGCCGGCCGCTCTTCGGGTCTTCGCTCTAATTTCACACTCTGTGGGGCGCTCTCAGCAGCACAGCCGGAGTGGACCTGGCCACAGCGGGACCTGCCATGTTCCTGTAACGAGCGATAAATTTTCCTGACCGAAAGTGGAGGCTTCCGGACGTCATCACCCTCAGTGGGGAGCGGCCTGGAGCTCCGGAGGCCTGCCGAGGCTCGAGACGGGCCAGAGTTAGGTTTGCTCTTATGGAACTACTTTGAGCGCTGATGCGGAGGAGGTAAATACACAGGTTTAAAGAACTAATATTTCGCTTTTGTCTAGTTATCTGTTGTCATTTAAAAGGGACACACTGACCGCTGGTGTCCAAACATTCATTCACACGCAGTGAATCCTTGCAGTGATCCCTGGTTTATCGCTGGGGTAATGTGTTCTAAAAATAACCCACAATAAAGTAAATCCTTGAAGTAGCAGCTGAATTATTAAGGCAGTAAAACCCCTCACCATATTACACATATTATACTGTTGGTTGTGGGTCTGAGCGTAGCTGCAGCTGTCAAAAGCCGTGCACACACTGTAAAATACAGCGGCAGAGGAGACAGTGCTGAGGGGCAGGAGCAGGACTGAGGGTTACAGGATGACTGAGGTTGTGGTTGTGAACATATACTCCTAATCCTTTGTCCACATCCAGCCCTACTCCACCTGTTTGTGTTTCTATTACACTTTAGTATGAGGTACTGTATACTAGCAACCTACCCACAACAAACCTGTATCCTGAGAAATTCCTTGGTAACCATGGCTTCCAGCAGCACTCCGACGTTCACTGCCGCTTAGAGCACTTCAGTACCAGCTTGGCCTGGAAAGAATTAGGGCCAAGAGGGACTCCAGAAGAACCTGGTATCAGTTAGAGTTGAGTTTCCTGGACTAAAGGTGGTGTTTTCTGTCTCTTCAGGACGGTGTGTCTGATCCTGCTCTTCTCTCAGTACTTAAGTAAAGTGGACGTCCCCATGATCACATACAAGGACAAGAAGTGGAAGGTGTTCCAGTATCCGCTCTTCAAACTCTTCTCCGTGAGTGCAAACACACAACACCTAAAGGACTTTATTTTTTTAATTTATTTAACCTTTATTTAACCAAGTCCCTTGAGATAAAATATCTTTTATGAGGGAGACCTGGCCAAGAACACCTTGGTAACTTTAATTACCTTTAATCATTTTTATTTACATTTTTATTCCACAAAACACGGATTACTCCTTTTTACAAACTTCAACACAAGACTTGTGGAATTTACCTAACTTACAGCATGTCGGGAGGACGGGAAAAAAGAACAAAACTTTGCGACGGCTGTTTTTCACTCAAACAGGAGCTAAAACTTCTTCAAGACCGAATGTTTGTGCTTGAATCAGAATTGGGGCTGAACACAACAATACCAGTGAAAGGAAATGGACCACATGGACAGAACGTAAGTTATGATGACGGTTTTTCATTTCCCAAAATCAACAGAGACAATTGTTGGAACACATATGGTGCCAAGCCCAAACAAGGCAAAGCTAATAATAACAAGAGTGTCATAATGCCACAGCAAAAATCTTTAATTACAAGAAACCGCTTTTCACCACTTTTGGAAGATGAATCAGCAGTAGTCTCTCAGTCCCAGTCTCAGTCTCAGTCAAGGTCAAATGCAGCTGAGTCGCTCTTTATCGGGGATTCTGCGATAAGACATGTAAACATGCGTAATCTCAAGGTTCACTCAGTACACTCTGCCAAAGTGGATGAGATAAGGCGGTTGGCTCCGAGGCTTCTGTCTGAGACCGGCGGGGAAAAAAGATTGTTGATCCACGTGGGGGCAGTAGACGTCTATGACAACACAAGTGAAAAGTTGAAACGGGATTACTCTCTCTTATTGGACGACCTTGCTAAAATGGACGCAACAATCGTTATCAGTGGCCCACTACCAAATGTGGACGGGAAGCAAATAAAATTCAGTCGTCTGTATCAGCTAAATACTTTCCTACTCAACGAATGTTCACGCAGAGGACTTGCCTTCATTGAGAATTTTAATCTGTTCTGGAATAGGCATGAGCTTTTTGAAGGGAAAGGGCCACATCTGAACACTTACGGAGTAAAAGTGTTGATGGATAACCTTTCTTTTGCCCTGAGACCACAGCCTGCGTAGCGCGTGCAGCCATCGAAAGGGAGGAAGCCGACTCTAAAAGTCTCTGCACCTCCACCACCTCGAAGGATCTCAACACCACCACCACCTCGAAGGATCTCAACACCATCACCAGCAGCAGCTGCATCACCACCAGCACCAGCAGCAGCACCAGCAGCAGCTGCATCACCACCAGCACCAGCAGCAGCACCAGCAGCAGCTGCATCACCACCAGCAGCAGCTGCATCATCACCAGCAGCAGCTGCATCATCACCAGCAGCAGCTGCATCACCACCAGCAGCAGCTGCATCATCACCAGCAGCAGCTGCATCATCACCAGCAGCACCACCAGCAGCATGACCACCACCACCAACATCCTCATCCCCAGCCTGCTCCAAAACAGCCACGCCTTCTTCATCTACAGCGCCTCTGAAGCCCCCATCCTCACCCCAGCCTACAGCAGACAGGCCTGTGCTGGGGTTTCGTCAACCACCTGCCCCTCCATCAAAGACTCCCTCGCCACCTCCCATGGACCTGTCTTGGGTTCCCCCTGCCACGTCCACTCCATCAAGAGAGAATGGGGACACCTCCCTTTGTTTTTCATCCCCGCCTTCACTGTTAGACCTACCTGAACACTCTGCAGGGCTAATAAAATCGGCGATGAAGACTATTCCTCTCACACCCATATTAGCTAGATCTAGAGTCCTGTCCAACATTCTAAACCACTCCCCATATGTACCTCCAAAACCACCTAGGGTTTCCAATTCACCTACAAAAACCACCTCAGCCAGTCCCTCCCCTAACCTCATGACCATTCCACCCCCACTTCCCCCTCGTTCAACACCCAAAACCTCTGCCTCAGCCCACCCCGGCCCTAACCCATCACCAAAAACCCCTCCACCTCCCTGCCCCCTTCGTTCAACACCCAAAAGCCACCCACTTCTCCATCCTCCTCCCCCGCCTTCCCCTTCCCCTCTTTTCTCTAAACACTAGGATGCACAGGGTCTCTGCTTCGCAGCCACTGGCAGTCTAGTTAGAGGAGAGACCCGGCTGGGGCCCTGTCATGAAGCCACCTGTGCCATTCCCTTAGTGATAACACAAAGAATACATTACAGAAAAACATCTGGAGTTAATCAGTCTAATCTGGAAAATCTAATAAAGTCTTTTTAATCAAGTCTTAACAAGTCTTTTTTAATCAATAATTTTATTTGTTCTCATAATCTTGATCTTATGTTCATGGCTGAAACTTGGCTTGACCAAAATTCAGGAAATGCAGTTTTAATAGAAGCATCTCCACCAAATTTGAAGTTTGAATCTGAAATACGGGAAAACAAAAAAGGAGGAGGCTTAGCTGCCATTTTTAGAGACCACTTTGTCTCCCATAGAATGTCTCTTGGGAAGTTTTCGTCATTTGAATATGTGTCTTTTAAAATACAACAAAAACAATCTCCTCCAATACTCTTCATTGTCCTATACAAGCCACCACAGTCATGTCACAGTTTTATTGATAATTTTACAGAGTTGCTTTCAGTTGTATGCACAGATTTTGATAGTTTGGTTATTACAGGTGATTTTAATATTCATGTGGATAATGTTGATGACAGAAATGCAAATGAGCTGAGTTCTGTACTTGAATCCTTTGATCTCACTCAGCACGTAAGTGGCCCCACCCACAGCAGAGGGCACACTCTAGATCTGTTAGTTACAAAGGGGGTGATTATTTCAAATGTAAACGTGGTCGATGTTGCTCTTTCGGATCATTTCTGTGTATTTTTTGACATGTGTTTCACTAACAAACCAACAGTGGACTCTGCAACTGTTCGAAGAAGGCGCATAAATGACAATACAAGTGAACTATTTATGGGAATGATAAACTTTGAGAATGCATCGTATTCTACTGTAGATGAACTGTTTAACTCTGTCACCTCTAGTGTTTTGAATGTTATGGATACCGTTGCCCCTGGGAAGGTTAAAATAGTGAAAAATAAGCAGAAGGCGCCGTGGGCTAAAGCAGACTCGGTCAGGGCACAAAAGAGAAAGTGCCGGAGGGCCGAGCGGAAGTGGCGCAAGTCCAACCTCCAGGTTGATTACGAGATCTTCAAAGATAAGTTGTGCGAGTTTAACCGGGTGCTACGTAGTACGAGAGAAAGGTATTTTTCTGAAATGATTGAAGGCTGCAGCAACAATCTGCGTGTTCTGTTCTCAACAGTTAATAGATTAACAAACCCCCCTGTTCAAATGCCATTAGAGCTTACTTCCAAACGTAAATGCAATGAGTTTGCTAATTTTTTCAATGACAAGGTTCAAGGCATCAAAAACGCCGTTGTCTCCAATCCACAGATAACCATCCAACAGCCAGAAAGGCTCTCTGAGCTAACTCACTTTGCACCTGTAAATGATAAAACTGTCCAAGAGATAATCTCCAGTTTGAGCTCCTCCACATGCAGCCTGGATGTACTACCCACTAGATTTCTGAAGTCTGTTCTGAGCAGTCTGTTACCTTCACTCACACAGATAGTAAACATGTCCCTTCATTCTGGAATATTCCCAAAGGCCCTGAAATCTGCAGTCATCAGGCCCCTGCTAAAAAAGAGCAGTCTCGATGCGACGGTACTTAACAACTATCGTCCCATCTCAAATCTGCCATTTATGGGGAAAGTCCTTGAGAAAGATGTCTACCTACAGCTTACTAGATTTCTTATAATCAACAACTCATTTGATATGTTTCAGTCCGGCTTTAGACCCCACCACAGCACTGAGACTGCTCTCGTTAAGGTTACAAACGATATCCGGCTGAACACTGACGCAGGCAAAGTCTCAATCTTAATCTTGTTAGATCTAAGTGCTGCCTTTGACACTGTCGACCATGAGATCCTCTTACAGAGATTAGAGGACTGGGTTGGAGTCGCTGGCACCGCCCTAAGTTGGTTTAGGTCTTACCTTGAAGACAGGAAGTACTTTGTGGAGATTGGAAACTGTGTCTCAGATCATATGGCCCTGACTTGTGGAGTACCACAGGGGTCGATCCTGGGACCTCTTCTGTTCAATCTCTAAATGCTGCCGTTAGGTCAGTTAATACGCAGAAACGAAGTTTCCTATCATAACTATGCAGACGACACTCAGATCTATGTCTCACTGACTGCAGGAGAACATGGACCAGTGGACTCACTCCTTCACTGTATCCAACAGCTCAGTGAGTGGATGCAAAACAACTTCTTTCAGCTAAACGCAGACAAAACTGAAATGATTGTCTTTGGTCCCCAGAAACAAAGAGAGAGCGTCATCTGTCACCTACAGTCTCTCTCCCTAAAACCTTCAAACAAGGTCAGAAATCTAGGGGTAATACTGGACTCAGACTTAAATTTGAATAGCCACATCAAATCAGTAACATCAGCAGCTTTTTACCATCTAAAAAACATTGCCAGGATCAAAAACATAGTGTCTAAAGCAGACTTGGAGATTCTTATCCATGCATTTGTCTCCAGTAGGTTAGACTACTGCAATGGCCTGCTCACAGGTCTGTCCAAACAGGCTGTAAAACAGCTGCAGTACATTCAAAATGCAGCAGCTCGAGTCCTGACTAGAACCAGGAAGTACAACCACATTAGTCCAGTTCTCAGGTCTCTGCACTGGCTTCCTGTGGCTCAGAGAATAGACTTTAAAACAGCTCTGCTTGTGTACAAGTCTCTCCATGGCCTCGCACCAAAATATATTAGTGACATGTTAGTCCCATATGAACCAGCCCGGACTCTGAGGAGCACAGGGACTGGACTCCTGTTAGTGCCCAGAGTCAGAACTAAACATGGGGAGGCTGCTTTTCAGAATCATCCTGCTAAAATCTGGAACAGTCTTCCTGAAGATGTGAGACAGGCCTCCTCTCTGACAATGTTTAAAACCAGGTTAAAGACAGTTCTGTTTAACTGTGCATACAACTGAGGGATTTTATATTTTTATCTTTCTTTTTAATGTTCTGTGATTATTTATTATTTTCATTATTATTTTAATGCTATCTTGTTTTGTTCAGCACTTTGAATTGCCTTGTGTATGAATTGTGCTATATAAATAAACTTGCCTTGCCTTGCCTTGCCTTGCCTTGCCTGCCTTGGTCATCTCACTCCTATGAACCAATGGTTCCTACATGTTTGTTTTATTACATTTGCTGTGTTTGAACTGATCAATTCTCTGAGCTGGGTTTGGAGAATCCACACTTTTGTTGCGTCCTGAAAGATGCATGCTGTTTTGATTTAGGTAGAAACCCAAATAGTACAATAAATTGATTTGAAATGGATTCAAGTGTGTGTCTCCCCCCACAGGCGCTCTTCGGTATGTGTGGCGCGTGGCTGTTGTGTTTCCTGCTCACCGTGTCTCAGGTGTTTCCCTCCAAACCGGAGGAGTACGGCTACTCGGCCCGGACCGACATCAGCTTGGACGCAGTCTCCAACTCACCCTGGTTCCATGTGCCCTACCCAGGTCTGTACTATGACATCACAGCAGTGTCCTGTCTGTAGTAGTCAAAGTATTGGCCATAAATTACTTTAGGTAATTTCTCAGGTGAAATGGCATTCTTATCATCGCTCTCTTATTCATCCTGTCTCTCTCCCCTCTCCTCTCCTCTCTCCTCACTGTATCAAATGTGAACAAAAACTAAATTCCCCGTCCCCCTTTGGTGGCAGCATAGGGAGTTATAGGCTTCATACTTGTTCTTCCATATATTTTCTACTTTAGATATTAGTACACATTCTGAAACACAAAATGATAAAGTAAATAGTTATTTTGCATTTTTTCAAGTATTTTTAGATCCATACATTTGTTCCGATCAAACAAGGCAAAAACTGTGTCTGTGAGAACAAGTTGTTCAAATGTGACTGTTTACATTGTATACAGCACTTGACGTTCTTTCATTCATCGTTGCCAGCTCACTTCAACCCTGCTGTATCACAGAATGGATCACCAACTTGTGTTAGTTGTTATCACATGTTCCACTTTTGACAACTAGTGGATTTAAAAAGAAACAATTTCAGAATGACAAGAGACGCTCTCCCCCCTGGACTGCCACCTTAACGTGGTGGGGGAGTTTGAGTACTCGGATGATCCTGGGAGCTATGCTGTCTGGGGCTTCATGCCCCTGGTAGGGTCTCCCATGGCAGACAGGTCTCAGGTGACGAGTCAGACGAAGAGCGGTCCAAAAACCACCATGGACAGCACAATAAATAGACCAGTGACGTCGCCCGGCCTGGCGCAGCCGGGGCCCCACCCTGGCGCAGCCGGGGCCCCACCCTGGAGCCAGGCCTGGAGTCGGGGCTCGTATGCGAGCGCCTGATTGCTGGGCCTTAGCCCACGGGGCCCGGCCGGGCTCAGCCCGAAGGCATGACGTGGGCAGTCCCTCCTGTGGGCCCACCAACTGCAGAGGGGTCCGTGGTGGCGCGGTGCTGGGAGGACTGGGCGGCCGTCGAAGGCGGAGACCTCGGCGACCCAGTCTGCACACACAACATCTGGCTCTTGGGACGTGGAACGTCACCTTACTGGGGGGGAAGGAGCCCGAGCTCATGGGGGAGGTTGAGCGATACCGACTAGAGATAGTCGGCCTCACCTCCACACACAGCTTGGGCTCTGGAACCCAACTCCTTGAGAGGGGTTGGACGCTCCACTTTTCTGGTGTTTCCCGCAGGGAGAGGCGGCGAGCTGGGGTGGCCATTCTCATTGCCCCCCATCTCAGCCGCCACGTGTTGAAGTTCTCCCCGATGAATGAGAGGGTCGCGTCCCTCCGCCTCCGGGTGGGGGACAAGTCTCTCATTGTTGTGACAGCCTACGGGCCTAACAGCAGCGCAGAGTACCCGGCCTTCTTGGAGTCCTTGGGATGGGTACTGGAGGGTGCACCGCCTGGGGACTCCGTTATTCTCCTGGGGGACTTCAACGCCCATGTGGGAAACGCCATTGTCACTTGGAGAGGGGTGATCGGGAAGAACGGCCCCCCTGATCTGAACCCGAGCGGTGTTCAGTTGTTGGACTTCTGTGCCAGTCACAATTTGTCCATCACGAACACCATGTTCAAGCACAAGGGTGTCCACCAGTGCACGTGGCACCAAGACACCCTAGGCCGGAGGTCGATGATCGACTTTGTTGTCATATCATCTGACCTTCGACCGCGTGTCTCGGACACTCGGGTAAAGAGAGGGGCGGAGCTGTCAACCGATCATCACCTGGTCGTGAGTTGGATCCGCTGGCAGGGGAAGAAGCCGGTCAGACCTAGCAGACCCAAGCGTATAGTGAGGGTCTGCTGGGAACGTCTCGCTGAGTCCCCTGTCAGACGGACTTTCAACTCTCACCTTCTCTCAGCTTCTCCCAATTCCCGGCGGAGGAGGGGGACATGGAGTCCGAGTGGACCATGTTCTCTGCCTCAATCGCCAATGCGGCGGCCCGTAGCTGTGGTCGCAAGGTCTCTGGTGCTGGTCCCGGCGGCAACCCCCGAACCCGGTGGTGGACACTGGCAGTAAGGGATGCTGTCAGGCTGAAGAAGGAGTCCTATCGAGCCATGATGGTTCGGGGGACTCCTGAGGCAGCTGTCCAGTACCGGCAGGCCAAGCGTGCCACGGCCCGGGCTGTTGCAGGGGCAAAAACCCGGGACTGGGAGGAGTTTGGAGAGTCCTTGGAGCATGACTATCGGTCGGCCTCGAAGAGATTCTGGCAAACCATCCGCCGCCTCAGGAGGGGGAAGCAGTTCTTTGCCAACACCATGTACGGTGAGGGTGGAGAGCTGCTGACCTCAACTGGGGATATTGTCGGGTGGTGGAAGGAATACTTTGAGGTTCTCCTCAATCCCCCCGTCACGTCCTCCGTTACAGAGGCTGAGGATGTTGGGGCGGATACATCCATCTCCCTGGCTGAGGTCACCAAGGTGGTTGGCAGCCTCCATGGTGGCAAGGCTCCGGGTGTGGATGAGATCCATCCTGATTATCTAAAGTCTCTGGATGTTGTAGGACTGTCTTAGCTGACACGTCTCTGCAACATCGCGTGGCGATCGGGGGCGGTGCCAATGGAGTGGCAGACCGGGGTGGTGGTCCCTCTCTACAAGAAGGGGGACCGGAGGGTGTGTTCCAATTATCGTGGGATCACACTCCTCAGCCTCCCCGGTAAGGTCTACTCCAAGGTACTGGAGAGGAGGCTACGGCCGATGGTCGAATCTCGGCTTCAGGAGGAGCAGTGTGGTTTTCGTCCCGGTTGCGGAACACTGGACCAGCTCTATACTCTCCATCAGATACTCCATCGGATACATGTGGACAACCTGTCCACATGTGCTTTGTCGATTTGGAGAGGGCGTTCGACTGTGTTCCCCGGGGTGTCCTTTGGGGGGTTCTCCGGGAGTACGGGGTCGGAGGTCCTCTGCTGAGGGCCATCCGATCCCTGTATGACCGGAGCCAGAGCTGTGTTCGCATTGCCAGCAGTAAGTCAGACCTGTTCCCGGTGAATGTTGGCCTCCGACAGGGCTGCCCTTTGTCACCGGTCACTTCTGGTCACTGTTATTATGGACAGAATTTCTAGGCGCAGCCAGGGGTCGGAGGGGGTCCGGTTCGGAGACCACAGGATTTCATCTCTGCTGTTTGCAGACATTGGGCCTCATTCACGAACGGTTCTTAGGAACAGATTTGTACGTAAATCCTACTTACGCGGTTTTTACGAAGAAAGTGGCATTCACGAATATTTCTCGTAACCAGAATTTCTCTTGGGCAAGTACAAATCCTACGAGTCCTCAGGAGCACTCGTACGCATTCAGTGCCGACATGTTCACAGCCGGGGTTGTCCTGTTTGGTGAAGTTGAATAAAAATACAACATTCCAGTGATATGTCCGTCATATCGATGTATGTATTTATTTATTTGTAGTAATCTTTATTAGTAATCTTTATTTATATACCGCCTTTTTCACTGCAGATCTGGCCTACTTTTTAATTCATTTTGAAATGAAATGTGCCAACGCTTTATCAAATACATTGGAAATCTTGCCGTGTATTAGTGACCCCTTCCTATTTATAGGGGGCATTTCTTTATCCACGGGCCACAGAACAACGGCATATATACTGCTGCTGCAGGAGGTTACTGGGTCCGCGCTGAGTCTCTGCGCTGGTCTCTCCCATGGATCTATACGGGTCTGCACTGGTCTCTCCCATGGATCTATACGGGTCTGCGCTGGTCTCTCCCATGGATCTATACGGGTCTGCGCTGGTGTCTCCCATATACGGGTCTGCACTGGTCTCTCCCATGGATCTATACTGGTCTGCACTGGTCTCTCCATACGGATCCGCGCTGTCTGGTCTATGCGGTCTATCTTCGGTCCGCGCTGGTCTCTGCGTACCGGTCTCTCCAGTCAGGTCACTACAGTCTATGCGGTCTCTCCAGTCAGGTCACTCCAGTCTATGCGGTCTCTCCTATAGGTCCGCGCTGGTCTCTGCGCACCGGTCTCTCCAGTCTATGCGGTCTCTCCTATAGGTCCGCGCTGGTTTCTGTGTGCTGGTCACTCCAGTCTCTCCTCGGGTCTGCATTGGTCTCAGCGCTGGTCCGCGCTGGATCTCCTCCCAGGGTCCAAAATATTTTGAGATTAATCTCAAAACATTTTGAGATTCATCTTTAAAATAATACATAATATATTTTTAAATTAAGCTCATAACATTTTGAGATTAATCTCATCATATTCTTAGATTAATCTAATAATTTTGCTAGTTCGACTTTATTATCATAATATTTCGACTTTTAAGTCAACATTTTATAACTTTATTCTCAGTCTGGTAAAAGAAGAAAAAAGGGTGACTTTTGCTCCGTGTAAAGGCCTGTTGCTGTTTCCTCTGCCGTCTGCACACGGCCCTGCAGTCCCTTATATGGGCATTAGTGGGCGGTTACTTATGCTAAGTACCTATGCTAATGAAGCACCTGGCACGCGCGCTCTACTTACGAGGAAATGGGATTCATCAATCTGAGAGAACAGCTGCGAACAATTCAGCGGCTTACGAGTGCGTTGATGAATCCCACGTGGGGACTTCTTAGAAATCTACTTAAGGACAACTTGAGAAGAAAGTTGAGTAGTTTCTTACGAAGTTATTCGTGAATGAGGCCCAATGTTGTCCTGTTGGCTCCAAAGAACCAGGACCTGCAGCATGTACTGGGGCGGTTTGCAGCCGAGTGTGAAGCGGCTGGGATGAGAATCAGCACCTCCAAATCCGAGGCCATGGTGCTCGACCGGAAAAAGGTGCCTTGCCCTCTACAGGTGGGTTGGAGAGGTCCTTCCTCAAGTGGAGGAGTGCAAGTATCTCGGGGTCTTGTTCACGAGTGAGGGAAGAATGGAGCGTGAGATTGGATCGGTGCAGCGTGCGCAGTGATGCGGTCTCTGTATCGGACCGTTGTGGTAAAGATTTACCGGTCAATCTTCGTTCCCTCCCTCACCTATGGTCATGAGCTTTGGGTAATGACCGAAAGAACGAGA